TTTCCAAATTCCTGTCAATGTTGACATCTTGACTTTTATCCACGAATCACAAATGTTCTTAATAGCATTTGGAATGGTGAATCCTTTCCAGAAGGTTTTCAATTTACTTTGCCCAGATCCATTAAAGGAATCACTGTGGCAGCTACAGCCTTACAAAATATGTTCCTTAAATAAGAAGACTTGAAAATCAAAATGACTCATGGATCCACAGGCTGCATAATGGATATTGTATTAGCAGGCATGGATACTTTAATCTTCTTGGACATCTTCTTCAGAGCTCTTTGGTGACTACATCAATGGGAAGTAATATTTTGAAAGAGATCTTTTTAAAATATATATTTTTGAGATAGGATCATATCCTGTCACCCAGGCTGCAGTGTGCTGGCATGATCATGGCTAGCTGGGACTACAGGTGCCCACCACCATGCCTGGCTTTTTTTTTTTTTTTTTTGGAGAGATGGGGGTCTCACTTTGTTGCCCATGTTGCTCTCAAACTCCTGGGTTCAAGTGATTCTCCCACCTTGGCCTCCCAAAATGCTGGGAATACAGGAATGAGTCACTGTGCCCAACCAGGATCTTTCTTTCTGAGCAGTAGGTCTTAACAGTCGACTGAAAATATTCAGCAAATCATACTGTAAACAGACATGCTGTCGTACAGCCTTTATTGTTCCACTTTTAAAGCACTGGCAGTAGATTTAGCATAATTGTTAAGGGCCTTAGGATTTTTGGAATGGTAAATGAGCTTTGGCTTTAACTTTGTCACCAGTTGCATTATTTCCCAAGAAGAGAGTCAGCCTGTCCTTTGAAGCTCTGAAGCCAGGCATTGACTTTTCCTCTCTAGCTATTAAAGTCCTAGGTGGCATCTTCTTCCAATAGAAGGCTGTTTTTTCTCCATTGAAAATCTATTGTTTATTGTAACAATGTTCATCACAAATATCTTAGCTTGATCTTGCGGCAGCTTCTCCACCAGCACTTGCACTTTTATGTTATGGAGATGGCTTATTAAATATCATGAACCAATCTCTGCTAGCTTCAAACTTTTCTTCCACAACTTTCTCACTGCTTTCATTCTTCATAAAATAATTGAAAAGCATTAAGGACTTGCTCTGGATTTGGCTTTGGGCTGAGATAATGTCATTGCTTCTATCCAGACCACCCAACCTTTTCTACATCAGCAATAAGACTGTTTCACTTTCTTATCATTATGTGTTCACTGGAGTAGCATTTTCAATTTCCTTCAAGGACTTTTCCTTTCAATTCACAACTTGGCTTACTGGTGCAGGTAGCCTAGATTCTGGGCTATTGTAGCTTTCAACTTGCCTTCCACACTAAGCTGAATCATTTCTAGCTTTTGATTTAAAATGAGAAACGTGCAAACCTTCCTTTCAATAAAGCACCTAGAGGATACTGTAGGGATTTATTAGGCTATTTTCAGTATTGCTGTGTCTCAGAAAATAGGAAGGCCTGAGGAGAGGGAGATAGAGGAATGCCCAGTTGGTGGAGCCGTCAGTGCACATACAACCCTTAATTAAATTCACTGTCATATGTGGGTGCAGTTCATGGTGCTCTAAAACAATTACAACAAGAACATCAAAGACCGCTGAACACAGATCACCATAACAGGTATCATAATAATGAAAAAGTTGGAAATATGGCAAGGATTACTAAAATTTATGCAGACACAGAAGGTGAACACATACTGTTGGGGAATTGGCACTGATAGACTTGCTGGAGGCAAGGCGACCACAAAACTTCAATTAGTAAAATCACACAGTATCTGGGAAGTACATTAAAGTGCAGTGCAATAAAATGTACTGCATTTTGTCCAGTCTCAAGTCTGCTCCTCTGTTCAATAGAGATAATTATAATTCTTCATAAGGTTGGTGTCAAATGAAAAGGCACATGCACAGAACGTATTTAGCCTAACATCTGAAATTTAGCAAGTACCATATAAAGATTTTGCTATTGTGCTTTTATATTTACAATTAATACCATCATTGTTTAACTTTGTGCAATAGTGGAGAACTTGTTTGCCAATAATCCCCATGCCTAAAACCAGAATTTAACAATCCAAGACATTATAGAAATTATTTTACTAAAGAAAACAAAAAAAGGAGAGACGTGTTTAAAAATCAAATTATATATTAGGTTGATGGCCATTTGTGTATCTTGTTCATAATATTAGTTTATGGAGAAGAGTGAATACTTTTTCAGCTATATAATACTTTTTGAAACCTGAGGTAGATTATCAAAATCAAAATTAAAGTCAGCTTTCAAGTTGCCACTGCTTGACTGTGTACTCTCAGTTTGAGGCGAGATTCCTTGCGTTATTCTTCTGGTATTTGTTGGCTTTGTATCATTTTGCCTCCTTGTCAAAATTCAGTGTTGGCTGCAGGAAAGCAACCGGCATTTGTTTCTTCTGGCAAAAAGAAGTGGCAGGGGAGGGACTGGGAATATTGTTTATAGAACAGCTCGGTGTTTGTGAGCATTTTTGATCTTTAGGGTTTTATCCCAATAAAAACCAGAAGGGAAGCTGCCCACAGTACGAATGATTTACTTTATGGTTACATTGGAATAGTAACACAATTTTTAAGAGACACAGTGCAATTGACAAGCTTTCAAGGCTCTGTGACTGACACACCTTTAGATACATTAATATCCAGCACCGGATGGTTCATTTGCCTTTTATTTTTTCCTGAATAAATATGCCAGGAATGAAAATTAAATGTGCAATTGATTTAAAATGTGAAAGCACTGGTCCATGTAAATGTATGCCATGTCAACATATCAACATTATTGATCATTTAAGTTTTTATATAGGGATTGTATGGATTGATTAGTTATAGAATAAATGTGTCACTTAGTTGGCACCGACTCAGGGTCACAGGAAGCAGTCTAACATTTCCAACAGCACATACACTGTTCCACTAAACCATGTATAATCCTTAAAAGGAAAAATAAAATATTTCTAGACATCTGCAGCACAAATTTTATTACAAACATCCCAGTTTTGTACATCTGATATGATTTGTTTCCATAGATTTTTTTAATGCTTTGAAAGATAATTTCTTTTCTCTTTAAGAAACTTAAACACACAAGTGTATGCACATGCACTAAATAGCACAACAGCTTCTTAGTGTGATAGATTCTTTAGTTTCTTTATTTAGAAACTTACAATGTACCCAAGTAATAGCAAAGAGTTCTATGAACAGGTACATATCAATTGCATTTTTCTTGTATTTGATTGTTAGAGTGGTGATCATGATGGTGCTGATGCTAGCACTGGTGGGTTATTTCTAAGTGAATTAATTCCAGCCCCCCATCTGAGTACATGAAGGTTTAATTGTAAAGAGTCTCGAATTGTTAATAAGTATAACAGTCAGATTATGGCTGACTTCATACAAAATAAACAAGACACTGTTTTTCTTGTTTATACAAAATAAGACTTTTTTTCTAAATAACATTTATTTAAAATATTTACCCTGAGATATATACAACAAAATCAACCAATGAGAAAAAATGCAGCTCTAGAACATAAAATATCTCTCATGTTACTTGATACTTAATTTGGGGCATTTTCCATCTTTTTACATTTGACAAAATTTTGACACTTTATTTTTTAAAGTTTTTCTTTTAGCTAATTTTCATTTTGGCACTAAAATCAACATCAGTTCCCCCAAATACTTGCTCTTGAAATTATCTATTTAACTCCAGTATTACTTAAAGAGGCTTAAATGAGACCATGTTTTACTTGCAGCCAGCCAGTACATTTTCCTAAGGAAGGACAAGATACTAGAATTTCAGTATTCTCCCCTATGCATTCCTCTTTCTATTATGATCATACATTACTAATTCCCCAAATATCAAATCCAGAGGTAGACCACATGAGTTTGGGGATGAGTTTTGCTAACACTTTTCCCCCCACCCCAGAAAAATCATTTTGCTTCATTTTGCCTCAGTTCCCTGACCTATGAAATGTTCAGAAGAATGAACAGTTACTCTCCATTAAATTATTACATATGAAAGAAGAAAATAATTTGTAGCTGTGGTCATACAGCATAACTAGTATTCTGCTGATGAAAACCATATTTTTGTTTTGAATATAACTGAGTTTGATAAGCTTTCCATAATTCAGTGTAGATACTAAAAAGGCAGTGAGCCCGGCCATAGGCATGGTTCCAACATATTGGAATGGTTCTTCAAAATAAGCTTGTGCTTCACAAAGCATGCTCACAAGTAGCATATGACTTCACAATTCAGTGACGGGGGGAGGGTGGATTTTGTTATAGCTGTGGTACACTTGTCAGAAATTATAGATTAAGTGATTTGTCCAGGGTAATAAGACTCAGAGCCTGGACTCAGACCCAGGTCCTCCACCTCTAAAAGCAAGATGTATCATAGTACACCTCCACGTGCAGAGGACCTGTTCCATGCAGATTCACACATTACTTACATGTGATTTTTAAAATTTGTAATTGTTTTATTTTTTTGAAGTCAACCTAAAATATTCCTATTTATTTTAATCATTTTAAGTAATTATACATTTTTGTGTATATGAAAGTTCACCATTATATAGTAGTTTAATACTTAAAATATAACAAACTTTATTTTCGTTAAAGATGACAAGTCCTTGAAAAGCTTGCAAAGTGACTGTGTGTGTCACTCTGTAATGCAGTCTAACACTGATAGAATTAATTTCCCCTATATATTATATTTGCATACAGAAAAATATTCTGCAACACTTATTTAATAAAGGAATTCTTTTTGACTATAAAAGAAATTTCATTTATACTGGTACCACATAATGAAAGCCCCCTTCTACCTTAATAAGGCCCTCAAATAAACTCTCATTAATTAAATTATCCTTGGATTTATAAGTATAGAGGTTAATGAAAAATCCTTATACTTGTAAAATCAAAGATAATACTACTAGGTAATCACAAAGTTGTGTGTTTTCTAATCACTTCTTTTTTTTTCTTTTTTTTTTCTGCACAGACTCATGTAATAGGACTTTTATTTTTTCAGAGAATTCAGACAGCCATTGATTATACAGCGCCATTTCTCAGCACTCTTTTCTTTCTACTTAAGAAATTAGAATACAACATCATGAGGATGATGATGCCAAAACAAGACTGCTGGTTCATATCACCGAGGATACAAATACACACTTAATCACTTGACACTTTATTGAATGCAAAGCAAGATTTAGCATCTTTGCCTTTGTTGTACATAGCTAAAGCGTGAGCCCAGGGAGGGGAGGACTGCATGATTTTTCTTGGTGGGGGAGGTGTGCACCCTGCAGTCCTGTGGTGTTGTGGGAAGATCAGCCCATGTTCTGTCGGTTGCCATAGCCCCTAGGATGGGTGTCCTTCCAGTCATCCCACTCCCGAGCTCTGTACAGTGTTTGCTCATCATCGTCTTCCTCCTTTTTTTCTTGATTTTCCTGTTGCTGGGCTGCTTTTCTGAATTCTTCTTCTGGTGTTTCTTTGGCTATTCCCTGATCTGGTAATGCTCCATATTTCTGATGTTGCTCATACCAGTCACTCACCGTCATAGTTGCCAGACTTGGATAACCAGCTCCAAATACTCTGGCTTGGGCCGTGTTCCGAGTGAGAACGAAGGGTTTCATTGGAGGCCTCTCCAGGCGAGATGCGTTAGAAGTTGATGCCTCTCTTGAAGAGTCTCTTTCTCTCAGGATCTTTATCTCCTGGTCAATGCTCTCAATCTCTTCTAAGCTGATATCAATCCACCGCTGAAGGTGAAGAAGATAATATTCACGAACACGCTCGTCATCTGCTTGACCCCTTTCCACAGCAGATCTCATTGTAGACAACCTATGCTCCAACTCCTTCTTGTGCTTGTATCTCTCTATCTTAGCCTGTCTTTGAGAAGCCATAGCAGCGAGGCTACGGTAAGCCGTGGAGGAATCAGCAGTGTGATTTTCAGCTGAGTCATCCTTGGTTTGGGGCAGCTCGAACTCTGCCACATGATGGCAACGGCACTCGGTTAAGTAGTTTATAAAGTGTTCTCGGGCCCGCTGCAAATGATCTAGACGCTGGCTGGGGCTGACTTGTTTCCTGGTGAGGGCTCCTTGAAACGCTGGCACCAACAGATACTTGAGGTCGGCGGAAGCAATCTCTTCCAAATCTTCGTTTTGGCTGAACAGGTCGAGCTGCTTTAACATTTCCGCAGCCTTCTCCAGGAGGTCCAGGCCCTGGCACACCTTCTCCTGGACTATCCGGGAGCCGGTGGGGTCAGTCGCTGCTTCTACTTCATCCAGCAGCTGTTCGCTGGTTTCGAAGAGCTCTGGGAGCCGCGGCAGCAGCGACTCGCCGTCAGCGGCCATCTTGAGGGGAGAGAAGGCGGAAATCGTCATTCTGCTCGTCACTTTCGTAAGCAGCTGACACGAACCGTGAATTCCGTCTTCAGTTATTAGAAAAGGATTAGTCCCATAGACCTCTCTAGGTAAAGCACAGGGTTGTCAAGAATGATCTGTGTAAATGAACCAGCTTAACATAAAAACTATTTCGCAGTGTAAACGTTGATTTTAGTTTCTTAATTTATTAAAAAGAAAACTACCAGGAAAATACTTTTTCCCTGTGGTAAAATATATGTAAAATTAACCGCTTTCACCATTTTCCATTTTAAGTGTACAATTTAATGGCATTAATTATATATACACTGTTGTATCACCATCACCACTCTCTAGTTTCAAACCATTTTCTATTACCCCAAATAAGAACTTTGTAATAAACAATAACTCCCCGTTCACCCCTCCTTCTACCCCCAGAAACCTTGAAGCTACTTTTGATTTCTATGCATTTGCCTATTTTAGATACTTCATATAAGTGGAATCATACACAACCTTTTTGTGTCTTCTTTATGTCTCCTAGCATAATTTTTTTTGTTAGTTATTTTTGAGATGGAGTCTTGCCTTGTTGCCCAGGCTGGAGTGCAGTGGTGCGATCTTGGCTCACTGCAACCTCTCCTTCTGGGTTCAAGTGATTCTCCTGCCTCAGCCTCCAGAGTAGCTGAGATTACAGGCATCTGCCACCATACCCAGCTAATTTTTTGTATTTTTAGTAGAGATGGATTTCACTATGTTGGCCAGGCTGGTCTTGACCAAGCCTCAGGTGAACCACCCACCTCCCAAAGTGCTGGGATTACAACCGTGAGCCACCACGCCTGGCCAGCATGTTTTTAAGGTTCATCCATGTATTAGAATTTCATTCCTTCTTACAGCTGAATAATATTCCATCACATGAATATACACATTTTGTTTATCCACTCATCTGTTGATGGAGATTTGGATTGTTTCCAAATTTTGGGCTGTTGTAAATAGTGATGCAATGAACACTGGTATACAAGTATTTTGTCTCATTTCTTTGGGGTTTATACCTACAAGTGTGATTGTTGAAATTGTTGGGTCATATAGTAATTCCATCGTTCGCTTTCTAGAGCTGTTGCACTATTTTACAGTCCCAGGAGCAATATACACATATTCCACCATTTTAATAGTATTTCATTGTGGTTTTTTATTTGGTGTCCCTAATGAATAATAATGTTGAGGATCTTTGTAAGGTGCTTATTAGCCATTTATATTTCTTTGGAAAAATAATATTCAAGTCCTTTGACAACATTTTAATTGGGCTGTTCGGTTGATGTTGAGTTGTAGCTATTCTTTATACATTCTGCATATTAAAACATCAGATATTAGATTTACAATATTTTCTTCCATTCCATGGGTTGTCTTTTTAGTTTCTTAATAATGTCTTTGATGCACAGACCTTTTTAATTTTAATAAATTTTAATTATTTTTCTGTGCCTTTAATATCATATTTAAGAATTTATTACCAAACTCAGATTCAAGAAGATATGCCCCTATATTTTTTTCTAAGATATTTATAGTTTTAGCTCTTATATTTAAGTCATTGATCCATTTTGAGATGTTTTTTGTTTATGGTGTGAGGTAGAAGGCCAACATCATACTTTTGAGTATGGAAATTTAGTGTCTCCAGCACTGTCGTCTGTAGAATATAGTTCTTTTTTTCATTAAAGGGACTAAGCATTCTTGTCAATAGTCAATTAACCATAAGTGTGAGGGTTTATGTCTGGACTCAATTGTATTACATTAGTCTGTATACCTAGCATATGCCAATATCACACTGTTTTAATTATTTTAGCTTTGTAATATGCTTTGCAGTGAGGAAGTGTGAGTTCTCCAATTTTGTTCCCCTTTTTCAAAATCATTTTGGCCATTTGTGGCCCCATCTGAATGTGAGGATAAGATTTTCTATTTCTTCAAAAATCAAAAAAGGGTTTTAGAATTTTGACAGGGAGGGCATTGAACCTATAGATCACTTTGAGTAGTTGTAACATCTTAGCAGTAAGGATCACAGGTTTTCTTTTAACTTGTATATATCTTCTTTAATTTTAGCAAGTATTTGTAGTTTTTAGTATTTGTAGTGTTTCACCTCCTTGGTTAAACTTTTTAAAAAAATATTTTGTTCTTTGTGACGCTATTTTCAATAGAATTGCTTTCATACAATTCATTCAATGTAGGAAGGCACAGAATAGAACAAAGAAAAAATTCACATGATCATCTCAAATAACACAGAAAACGCATTTTCCAAACTAAACATCCTTTTATGATAAGTAAAAACTAAAACTAAAAAGTAGAAATAGAAAGGAATTTCTTGAATATGAAAGAGGGCATTTATGAATAGCCCACAGCTAACATCATACTCAATGGTGTGAGGTTGAAAGCTTACTTTGAAAGATCAAGAGAAAGATGATGATGCTCACTGTCTTATGCTGGAAGTTCTATCTAGGGCAACTAGACAAGAAAAAGAAATAAAATTTATCCAAAGACAAGAGGCAAAAGTAAAACTCTATTTTCAGATGACATAATCCTATGCATACAAAGTCCTAAGGATCCACAAGAAATCTACTAGAGCTAAAAAATGAATTCAGCAGTGTTAGCGTACAAGATCAACATACAAAAATCCATTATGTTTCTATACATTTATAATGAATGCCAAGAGAAGAAAATTAAGATTTTTATTTTTTTTGCAAGATTTGTTTTATATCCTCAATTTTGAATAGTTTCAATTTTTTCCAAGATTCATAGTCTCAGAACATCTGCAAATAATTTATTTTAGATTTTCCTAATCAGTGCTAAGTTATCTTCTTTTTAAAAAATTATACTTTAAGTTCTGGGGTACATGTGCAGAATGTGCTGGTTTGTTACATAGGTATAAACGTGCCATTGTGGTTTGCTGCATCCATCCCCCAGTCATCTACATTAGGTATTTCTCCTAAAGCTATCTCTCCCCAATGCCCCTACCTTGGGCTATCCCTCCCCTACCCCCACAACCCCCTGACGGGCCCAATGTGTGATGTTTCCTTCCCTGTGTCCATATATTTTCATTGTTCAACATCCACTTATGAATGAGAATATGCGGTGTTTAGTTTTCTGTTCTTGTATCAGTTTGCTGAGAATGATGGTTTCCAGCTTCATCCATGTCCCTGCAAAGGGCATGAACTCATCCTTTTATATGGCTGCCTAGTATTCCATGGTGCATATGTGTCACATTTTCTTTATCCAGTCTATCATTGATGGGCATTTGGGTTGGTTCCAAGTCTTTACTATGGCAAACAGTGCTGCGATAAACATATGTGTGCCTGTGTCTATATAATAGAATGATTTACATAATCCTTTGGGTAAATACTCAGTAATGGGATTACTGGGTCAAATGGAATTTCTAGTTCCAGATCCTTGAGGAATTGCCACACTATCTTCCACAATGCTTGAAGTAATTTATACTCCCACCAACAGTGTAAAAGCATTCCTATTTCTCCATATCCCCTCCAGCATCTGTTATTTTCTGATTTTTTAATGATCACCATTTTAACTGGTGTGAGATGGTATCTCAATGTGACTCTGATTTGCATTTCTCTAATGACCAGTGATGATGAGCTCCTTCTCATATATTTGTTAGCTGCATAAATGTCTTCTTTTGCAAAGCATCTGTTCATATCCTTAGCCCACTTTTTGATGGGGTTTTTTCTTGTAAATTTGTTTTAGTTATTTGTAGATTCAGGATATGAGCCCTTTGTCAGATGGGTAGATTGCAAAAATTTTTTCCATTATATTGGTTGCCAGTTCACTCTAATGATTGTTTCTTTTGCTGTGCAGAAGCTCTTGTTTAATTAGATCCCATTTGTCTATTTTGGCTTTTGTTGCCATTGCTTTTCGTGTTTTAGTCATGAAGTCCTTGCCCATGCCTATGTCCTGAATGGTATTGCCTAGGTTTTCTTTGGGTTTTTATGGTGTTAGGTCTTATGTTTAAATGTTTAATCCATCTAGAGTTAATTTTTGTATAAGGTGTATGGAAGGGATCCATTTTCAGCTTTCTGCATATGGCTGGTCAGTTTTACCAACAGCATTTATTAAATAGGGAATCCTTTCCCCAGTGCTTGTTTTTGTCAGGTTTGTCAATGATCAGATGGTTGTAGATGTGTGGCATTATTTCTGAGGCCTTTATACTGTTCCATTGGTCTATATCTCTGTTTTGGTACCAGTACCATGCTGTTTTGATTACTGTAACCTTGTAGTATGGCTTGAAGTCAGGTAGTGTGATGCCTCCAGATTTGTTTTTTTTGTTTTTTTGTTTTGTTTTTTTTTTTTTTTGCTTAGAATTGTCTTGGCTATGTGGGCTCTCTTTTGGTTTCATATGAAGTTTAAAGTGGTTTTTTTCCAATTCTATGAAGAAGGTCAGTGTAGCTTGATGGGTTTGTATTGATTCTATAAATTACTTTGGGCAGTAAGGCCATTTTCATGACATTGTTTCTTCCTAACCATGAGCATGGAATGTTTTTCCACCTGTTTGTGTCCTCTCTTGTTTCCTTGAGCAGTGGTTTGTAGTTCTCCTTGAAAAGGTCCTTCACATCCCTTGTTAGTTGTATTCCTAGGTATTTCATTCTCTTTGTAACAATTGTGAATGGGAGTTCATTCATGGTTTGGCTCTCTGTTTGTCTGTTATTGGTGTATAGGAATTCTTGTGATTTTTGCACATTGATTTTGCATCCTGAGACTTTGCTGAAATTGCTTACCATCTTAAGGAGATTTTGGGCTGAGACGATGGGGTCTTCTAAATATACAATCATGTCATCTGCAAATACAGACAATTTGACTTCCTCTTTTCTTAACTGAATAACCTTTCTTTCTTTTTCTTGCCTGATTGCCCTGGTCAGAACTTCTAATACTATGTTGAGTAGGAGTGGTGAGAGAGGGCATCCTTGTCTTATGCCATTTTTCAAAGAGAATGCTTCCAGTCTTCCAGT